CCCTCGGGGCCCCTCCCCCCTCGGGGCCCCTCCCCCCTCGGGGCCCCCCCTTGGCTGCCTCCACACCCCTGGCCTCCTTTCTGGGGGGGGGGGGCAGGAAAGAGCCCCCCCGAGGGGGCCCCCCCCCCCCTCCCCGTGGCCTGGCCCCAGAAGCCCCCCCCCCGAGGGCCCCCCCCCCCCCCCCCCTCCCGGGCCACCAGACACCTCGCACAGCCCCATCCCGTCGCCTCCTTTCTCCTTCCCTCCCCGTTCACGATGGGGGGGAGCCCTACCTGCTCCCCTCCCATTGGGGGGGTCTCGGGGCAGCCGGGGCTCCCGCCTTGTGCCTCCCGTGTGTCCCCCCACAGCGGCTGGGCTGAAGGGGCAAGGGGGCGGCCCGGCTTCCCCAGCGCGGTCTCCTCCTGGTCTTTCCGGGCTGCTCTGGACGGGCCACTTTCTCTGCTCCGCTCCATTGCGGGGAGTGGGCTGCACCCCGAAAGGTCAACCGGTCTGGAGAGGAGAAGACGTTGGAGAGCCTAAGCAGCTAATGAGAGCACAGGGCTTTCTGGGTGGTGCTCCATCCCTCCCCCTCCCTAGGGGGTTCGATGTTTCCCCAGGAGGGGGGCGGTGACGTGGGGCAAGGGACTCAGGGCCCCCTCCTTCCCCTCTCCCTCTGGCCCAGGTATGCCAGCTTGTACTTCTGCTGTGCCATCGAGGGGCAGGACAACGAGCTGATCACGCTGGAACTCATCCACCGATACGTGGAGCTGCTGGACAAACATTTTGGCAGCGTGCGTCCATGCCTGGGTTGGGGGCTGCCCCCCCCCCCGGGCCCCCACCCCTCTGTAGCCTCCCGCCCCGTGGCTCTGGCTGGGCCTGCGGGTGGGTGGGGGGCACTTCTCTTTCCCCCCAGACCGCTAGCTGCCTTGTGCCCCCTGCCCCTCCGCAGGTGTGTGAACTGGACATCATCTTCAACTTCGAGAAGGCCTACTTCATCCTGGACGAATTCCTGATGGGGGGCGAAGTCCAGGACACCTCCAAGAAGAGCGTCTTGAAGGCCATCGAGCAGGCCGACCTCTTGCAGGAGGTGGGGGCTGCCGGGGGGGGGGGGCGCGTGGGAGGGGGGAGCAGGCCGCTCTGCCGCCCCCACTGCCAATGGCTGGGGGGGGGGGGGGGGAGGAGAAAGGGCCGCCCCCCCCCAGCTCCTTCGCTGCTGCTACCGCAAGAGGGCAGCCGTAGTGCCATCAGCAGGGAGGGGAGGAGCCAGGCCTGGAATGGAGCCACCTGGAACGGCTGCCTTGCTGGGTGGGGGGGAGGATTTCCCTGGCTGGCGGAGCATGTGCAGAGCGCCTTCTGGGAGCGGGTTCTCTCGCTTGACACCTCCCCGCCTTCCATCCTGCAGGAGGACGAGTCCCCTCGGAGCGTGTTGGAGGAGATGGGGCTGGCGTAGCTTGGCCCCCTTCAGGATCTCAGGCCGCCTCCCTTCCCCGCCCCTCCTCCCCCCACGCCCCACAAGCGCTGCGGAGACCCAGGACTCCTCGGGAGACTCCGGCAGGGGGGCAGCTGGGCTCTGCGGGCCCCGACTTGCACCGGATCCGGGGCCGTTTCTGTCGTGGTCCCGGGTGCTGCCAGTGGTGGCGAAGGGCCCCTTCCACACCCCCTGCCACGCCTCCAAGTGACCTCTGGGAGCGCCCAGGGCGCCTGCCTTCTCCCTCCCTCCCCCACCAGGGGTAGCCATGGGGGGGGGGGGGTCCCCCCCCCCGGAGGAGAGGCCACTCCTTGCCCTCGAAGGCTGCCCCCTGGATGTTTTTTTGGGGGGGGGGTTTGCCTGCCCTCGGCCCCTGCCGGCCCAAGGAAGGGGAGGGGAAGGCCTCCCCGGGTTCTCTGGAATAAAACCTGTCTGGAAGAGTCTGGCCTGGTGGTCTTTTTATGCCTAGCAGGGTCTCCTCCCGAACAGCAGCCAACCTGGAAGCGGCAGGCCCTGCCAGCCCTCTGTCCTGGGGGGGGGGGAGGGTCCCAGCCATTGCTTTGCCCCTGGGGAGGGGAGGGGGAGGCCGGGCGCACCGGCTGCTGGCCCTGGAGACCTTCCAGGCAGGGCGGGGAGGATGGGTGGGGGGCAAGGAAGCCTCGGGGGGAGAGGAGGAAGGGCTGGCTGGCTGCCGCTGGATCCCTCCTGCCAGGCCAACTTCAGGGCACGTGGGGAGCTGGAGGTGTCTGGCGAGGCTGGGGGTGCAGGGAGAGGGGGGGCCGTTTGGGCCCCTTCCCCCCTCTCCCCAGGGGGCCCAAGGGCAGGGCCTGGCCTAGTGGCCTCCTGCTTCCAGCCTTGGGAGGGGGTCGGGGGGGCACAAGGGCTGGGTTGGCCTGAGGAGAGGAGCCCCCTCTGGGCCCCCTTGCCCTCCCTGGGCCTTAACGGGGGCCTTGACTCAGTGCTGGAAGGCAGCGGCAGCAGCATCGCCCCACTTGGCGGGATGGTTTACTCCCAGAGGGCCCGAGAGACAGACCGGTGGCCCTGAGCGTTGGAGTCCTTCGGGCTTCCTGGCTGGAGCGTCCCCTCCCCCCCCCACTCGCCTGGCGCTCGCAACGGATTCGGGAGCATATGAAAGGGGGGGCGGGGGTGTGGAGGAAAAAAAAGCACGAACTCTCCTCCAGCCTGTTAAGCAGGCTTCCTTAAGGAAGGCGGAAGGGCCGGAGCCGTCCAGACGTCCAGGAAGGCTGCTTGGCCGGCAGGCGCTGCTCCCGAGAAGGCAGGGCTCCCGGCTTCGGCCAGGGGACAGAATGCAGCCTTTGTATTAGGCCGGGGGGCGGACTAGAAGCAGTGCGCAAGAGCCACCCAGAGGTCCAAAAGCCGGTCTCCAGGGCGTTGCTACTGAGCTGGCCCAGGCAGCTGAACCGGCCTCTTGTCTGCCAAGCTTCCTCCGGCCGTTGGGGGAGGGGAGGGGGGGTTGCTTGGCGGCTGCTGAGGCTGAGCGCGGGAGCAGCCACAGGGCTCTGCCCATCCCTCTTTCACGGCCCTCCCAGGAAGGCCCCTCCTGAGCCTTCCCTCCCGCCAGCACTGGCCCCTAGGCTGGGCTCTCTCCCCCGCCCCCATGGAGCCCATCCCCACGGTTCCTGCCTGGCTGCCTTCCCCGTTGCTTCCTCCTGGCCTCCGGCTCTTCCTGGCAGAGGCGCCTCCACTCCTGGGGGGGAGATTCTGGGCACCAAGGCGAACTGGAAGCCCCTCCCCGGGTCAGTTGCTGCTCCCGGTGTGTCAGGCGAGGCTTCCCGGCTGGTGCCGCTTCCGGGAAGGGGCCCAGGGCCGGCTTCTCCACTCTGCTTGGCTTGGAGGGCCTGTCAGCCAGAGGAGAGGGGCCTGGCCCTTGCCACTCTGCACGCGCTCGGAAGCTCCGTTGGGAAACTCCTCCGCTGCAGCCCTTCCCTGGGCTAGTTGTGGGGAGGACTGAAGGTTTTCCCGTTCTTGTATTGGGGGCGGAGGCCCGCCTGGCCTGTAGCCCACCAACGTGCAAATAATGAGAGTAACTCATAATAAAATAGTTGCTTTTATTTCTTAGCAAAACTAGTAATTCGACATGCTATTTACAACAGGGCAAATGTGTTTTTATTTCAAGTGCAACAAAATGGACCAGACATCAAAAAACAACTTCGGCTGCTTGTTTGTACAGGACTGGACATCACAAATTGAAGAAACTTGCACACTCTAGAACTGATGTCAGTGGAAAATTCTCACGCGTGCAAACTGCCCCGTCAGCCTCTGGTGCTCCCCCAGGTCGACCCCTCCGGCAGGCAGCTTTGGATGGTCATGAATGATCACAAGCAGGTCTACTGAAACATGCTGACGGCCAACACCCCCCCACCCCTTGGAGGGTCCCTGGGCTCTGGGTGCGGGTGAGGTTCACGGGGCTCCCTGGGGCCAACCACCTGCCCGGACGCGGAGGGCGAGCGTGCGTCATCTCTGCCCCAGGTGGCCGGAGGGCGTCCCTTTGAGCAACGGGGTCAGGGTAGCCAGGAGGGAAAAGGGGGTCTCGGGAGCTGGGGAGAGGCAAGGGGATGGGGGACTGGGTCGGCCCACCTCCCCCTTCCTCTGGCTTCGCAGGGTCCACCACCACCACCCCGCCCTGGGCTGCCCTCCCAGTTAGGAAACGGGGTTTTCCCCCCACCCCAATGGGAGGCAGATCCCCTCTCATATGGGGCCGGCCTGATTCAAGGCACCCTCTCCGCTCCGCCGGGAAGCCTCGAATCCACAGACTGGATCCACAACAGGCAGAGGCCACGAATCAGCGGAGGCCACCTTGACCCAGCCTTGTTTCCTGCCCCTCAAGCAGCTTGGGAAAAATTGGCTTGCGTCTCCTGAGGTCCCTTTCTCTGCTAACTGGGGGGCGGGGGGGAAGCCGACGTGTGTCAGGGGAAAAAGTGTACATGGCCCCCAAGGACTTGGGTTAGCAGGCTCGGGCTGTGTGCTCCTCTCTTGTTACCGGGGGACGTTGGAGGGAAAAGGGCCCCCCAACTAGCTCCTCCTGGGTTTGGGGTTGGTTTGAACGTCCCTGGAGCCAATGGGGAGAGTCCGCCGCAAGAGACTGGTGGGAATTTCACGGTGACCGAAAGCAGATGAGAGAAACCACTTTGGAGTGGGGTGAAGGCAGCAGTCTAGGATACCAGGAGACGGTGAGTTCTAGTCCGGCCTTAGGCACAGAGCCACCTTGGAGACCCTGGGACAGTCCCTTGCTCGCAGCCCAAGGAAGGAGGACGCGGACTCCGCTTCTAAAAGGTCTTTCCAAGAAAACGGCGGGGATTTATACAGGCAGACTCTGGGAATTGGACCTTGGACTCTGAGTGGGAGGAGAGGGAGTGGGAGGAGGAGGAAGAGGAGGAGGAGGAGGAGGAGGAAGCCGATGCTGAGTTCTTGGGTAGCAAGTTGTCCCATCAGAACCCCTCCCCACCCCAAGTCCAGTACTTCTATTTCGGGGGAGCCTGTGGGCCAGAATTCGACCGACCTGTCTGCTCTCTCCTTGTCCCTTGAAGACGGAGCAGAGCCCCCGTCCCCCAGACTCACCGGCTGGAGCCAACTGGAGTTGACCAAGGCGTCCTTCTTTCCTTCAGGATCTGCTCCAAGCCCCCCTGGACCGCCTTGAGGTTCAGACTGGTTTGTTTGCCCTGCCAGATGTTCCAGGGGGGGTGTGGGGGGAGGCAAAGAGGTCTGACATGAGACGTGGGAGGGCAAGTGAATAGGGGCTGGGTCTTGGTTGCCACACCCAATCTCTGGTCTCTCCCCTAATTCTTTTCGGCAGCTTCTTTCTGCCAGTGCTATGAAACGGGGGCTTCTTCTCAGGGTCCTGCCAAACAGGGTGGGAGGGGGGATCCAGAGCTCCCAAGAAGGCACGGTGCAACCGGCACGTTCACCGGAAGCTGCCGCCCTGGGACCGGAGGGCCTCTTGCCTCATTTCCTTCGGGGCTCCTAAAGGGCCTGGGGGGATGGGGTCACGCGTTGCTCAGAGGGGCCCCTTCAGACTGGGGGCCGGGAAAGGGGGGGTTCCCCTTTCCCCCAGTGGGGGGCAGCTGTCTGAAACCAGATGGAAAGGAAGGGGGGCTGGCCGCCCCCCAAGCACCGAACCGTGGGACCGTTCACCGGGTGGGGGAGATTGGCTGCTCCTGAATCATGCAAGAACCCAGATTTATGTCAGAAACACCGAGT